ATCCTCCGATGACACAAAAAAACGTCATTTTGCGTCATCAGAGGATTTTTTGTCAATAGGCTAAAGACTACAGTCGGTAGTCGGGTCTGTCCCGCATGTTCTCAACCCGCCCCAAGATGGTGATCTCACTCACAGAATGAACACACAGTGTAGTTCAAAAAAACGTTTGCTGATAATTTACTCACCCCCATGTCATGCAAGATGCCCATGTCATTCTTTCTTCAGTTGAAAAGAAACTAAGGATTTTTCTCCAAATAATGGACTTCATTGGGAACCAAGCGGTTCAAGGTCCAAAAGAGAGTTTCAGTGCAGCTTCAAAGGGCTTTAAACGATTCCAGAGGATGAATAAGGCTCTTATTAAGTGAAATGATCGCTCATTTCAAAAATAAATTAAAAAGTTAAGTTTTATAAGCACAAATGTTCGCCTTGCTCTGTTCTGTGATGCGCGTTTATGACTCCCCCGTTCGAACTCGTTCATCAAATTGAATCTTTTTTCGTTCGACACAGACCCTAATTCATCGTCTAGTGTCGTTTAAAGCCCTTTGAAGCTGCACTGAAACTCTCATTTGGACCTTGAACCGTTTGGTTCCCATTGAAGTCCATTATATGGCGAAAAATCCTGCAATGTTTTCATCAAAAACCTTCATTTATTTTCAACTGAAGAAAGAAAGACATGGACATCTTGGATGACATGGGGGTGAGTCAATTATCAGCAAACGTTTTATTAAAAATTTAACTAATCGTTTAATTTTTCTCTGATCCATGAAAATGTCAGGTGTGGTCATGCTAACATTCACTGATTGTTCCTCAGATGGAGGCTCTGCATCTCTCGGTCTGGATTTACTCAGAGGAGCCGCTGGAGGATTATCCTCGTCGCTCTCCTCCTCTAACTCTGGTCCGGAGCATAAGAGGCCGGTCACGGCCCAGGAGAGACAACGAGAGAGGGAAGAGAAGCGGAAGAAGAGGCAGGAGCGAGCTATGGAGCGAAAGAGGAAGCTGAAAGAGAAGGAGAAAAAGGAGGGGAAACGAGGAGAATCTTTAGGCGGCGTTTTGCTCAGCGACAACGACAAGAGGCTGTTGGAGCGCTGGGGGCGAATGATGGACACCCGAGGGGACAAATCGCAGACCGCAGAAACCAACGGTGCCAAAACGAATGAGAATAAGACGGTCCAAATCCAGCCAGCAACAGGAAGCAACCTCGTAAAAACAAACTCCGTTGGGGGAGAATCAGTGCCGCCAAAACAACCCAACGAAGTGCCACAAATGCTGCCTCAGTGTGTCACAGCTGGATTATTCCATTCAACTCCGACCCATAATGCAACACCCGTCTCTTTAGGTCCGTCTCAGAATGGGGACGTTGGTTTGGTTGCAGTAGGAGGAGGCGGAAGTGTTGCAGGTTTAGGTGTGGTAACGGGCCCGTGTGCCTTTGCCAAAAACAACATATTAAAATCTCAGTTTCTGAGTGTTGGAACAATGTTCACCGGCCTTGACAACTGGACGGGAACATCTTCACACAAAACCCAGCAACCTCCACTAGAACTGAACAACCCCGCTCACACGGGCTTCACGCACTTGCAAACCCAGCTGAAGCCCGTCCCACAGCCCAACGCTCACATCCAGCTGCTGCCGCTCGAACCCTTCATGACTAAACCACCAGCCTTGAACCCCAGCATTGGCGTTTCGGACACCAGCACGAATCCAGAGACCGGCGATGGTCCTCAAGCCCTGGACAAACTTTGCGTTCTGGGGAACAGACAGAACGGCTCTCATTCACAGGGCCCTTCAAAACAGCCTCCAGGAGCCGCAGCTCAACCCTGCCTTAGTCTCACTGACACGGGACAGTCGACAAACAGCATCCCTGATATCCACACGGTCACACAGCAGCTCTCAAAGTCACAGGTGAACTTCTAGCCATCACATCGTCTTTAAATATGAGTTTCATGGAAGTCTGATCGCTTAGAAAAGTGACACCTGTTCTCAACAGGACACTTGATTTGAGTTATTGATTTATCACAATCATGGGTAACCTGAACCATTAGGAAAATTAAAATGGAAACAAGTCAAATCTTAAAATGCCATGGGCATTTCTATAGTGTAAAAGTCTAAGTTCTATAGTGTTTTTATTTTAAGTTATTTTAATTAATTTGAGGGTCTTATTGTACACAAATAAATATAATCATTTAACACTATTAATTCGAAAGGCCATTATAAGACAGAAATGGAAATCAAGACCAACAACCTTTAAAATTAATCTAAAAAACCTTTATCCCGTAAACAAAAGCTAAGTAAGTTTATGCATATTAATAAAAATTTCATTTTAATTTAACTCATTATTTTATATTATTAATTAATGAATAAATTACAGTTTTATATATATATATATATATATATATATATATACACACACATTTAATTATAACAATATATTAATTATTAATGAAACTACCCCCCCCCCATGTTCATGCCTTGCATTATTTATATCATTATTATACAATTATATAAATGCATATTTATTTTTCTTTATTGAAAATAATCTGTATCCCTCAAGAGATCATGCAATGATTTTTTTTTACTATTATGTATATATTTAGTTAAAATATTTATTTTTTGTATTTATTTATTTTTAATTTATTTAAAAATATTTTTTTTTTGTATTATATATATATATATATAATATTATTATTATTAAACCTGTAGCCCCAGAGGTCATGCCATAGATTTGTGAGAGCAAACAAGATATAGAATAATAATAATAATCATGCATGGAGGCCTGTTTCTACCTCTGGGTAATGAAGAAAAACGTAATTTTGAGATAAAGCCAAAAAATAATAAATCAAATTGTGAAATATAAAATCACAATTAGGAGAAATAAAGTTACAGCTACCTTTTATTTTTACTTTGTGATTAAGATTGCCATATTTATGTGATCTCATTATGCGCAATATTTCTTATAAATCTATATTTGATTTTGAACTCGTTCATATGTTTAATTCTTCTGTTTAATCTCAACTTTGTCCTTTTCTCTGCCAGGTTGAAGACATTTTGCCGCCGGTTTTCTCAGTGACCCCTAAAGGCAGTGGAGCTGGATACGGCGTAGGCTTTGACCTCGACGACCTTCTCGCTCAGTCCCTTACCGAACTCCAGCACTCTGACCTCAGGGAAAGGTCAGTTCGAACCTCTCTGACCGCAGAGTGCATACTGTACGCCACTGCAAACTACAATGCTCGACTCTTATGTACATACTACGCATATTATTGGCTATCTATTGTAGGGCACTTAGAATAAAAGTGTCTGCTAAATAAATTAGCATTTTAATGATCTCGTTTCTCGTTTTTCATTAGTCACAATGACTTGGCCCCCCTGTCTGCGTCCCTGCTCTCTGATTGGCTCGAGGTGCACCGCATGACCCCTGCTGACATGGAGTCACTTCAGCAGGAGCTCCAGCTCGGTTCTCCCATGATCCTCTCCGACAACTCAACGCTTCCTGATACCTGATCAGCACCTGCACTCCTTCCCCATCCCCTTATAGAGCCACACAGAGGCATTTGATAGCTGTATTGTCTACTAGACCTAGAGTCAGTAGAGGGAATATCTTTGAGGCTCCAAATTATTAAGAAAAGTGCCTTTATCTTTAATGGGTTCACATGCATTATTTATTTGTGCCAACATTAAAGTATGATGCCGTTCGGTTCTTAAGGGGGTTTCCATTCTCGGAATTTCAGTGCCAACATAAAGCAATTCAGATCAAGGAAAGAAAAGTTCACTTCAGCTGTGCTAGTGCCATTGATTCACCAGCTCGTTTTATAGAATATTCAAGCCAATAGCAGCTGTTTAGAAGACCAGTTTAAAGCTATTTTCTAGTACACTACAGTACGAGTCGCCAACAGGGCAATAGTATTACGACGATGAACACAATAAGGGAAGCAGAGCACATTGGCATTACTGGACACTGTAGGAAGTAGTGCAGAGTAGAAAAACATTTCATTTGATGTTGCATGAATGTCTTGTAGAACATAGTGAGTGACACACCAACATGCAGATTTGCTCAGTTTTACACCAGCAACGAAAAAAGTATTGTTGTCTTGAATAAAGCTATCAAATGGATATCGTCGTGTTATTTTGCAATGTTTTGTTGTTTGTTTAATACGGAAAAAGACGCATAGGAGTAATATGCAAATTCACCTTGACTAAGCCCTTTGTTCATTTTGTAGGATTTTCAAAGGAAACAAATACTGTTTGTATCATCTCTGGGTACCTTATAACACTTATCGTTATTTTGGATCATTACTATAAAATGATGTTTAATCCTCTGGTACTGTTCGCATGTCAGTATTTCAATGAAATGATTGTACTATATTTTAGTTTGCTAATGTTTTACTTATTTATTTAATATTTGTTTTTTTGGGGGGGATTTTATGGTACTAAATTATAGTTGCGTGGTACTGTAGTTATCGATTTATTCACTTTTTGAGCATTGCATTTCCAAATCAAACTGTCATAAATCTTTGAAGCACAGACTTCAGTTTGGTCTCTTTTTAAAGAAGACATTTGGCAGATTATAACTTGAAAAGTTATACAATTTTATATTTATGGATTTTTTTTTATATGACGTATATGTTTTACAAAACACATATACTCTAATACTGTGAGAAAGTCAAAACCATAAATCTAAATAAGTTCCAAATTTGAGCTTTTTTAAAAAAGAGCTTTCAGTAAGAATTTGTTTGAAGAAAACGTTTCCAAAAAGATGAAATTCGCCTCCCAATCATTTCCAATGAGGCCAATTTTGACCACAAACAATACAAGTGACTTTTTTTCAGAACCATTTAACCTTTTCATGTTTTATTTTGAGCGCCAAAACCTTTACCAAGTTTCGTGGCGTTTAGATGAAATGTTATTTTTTCAGACAGCACCAGAAGGTTAAATGCGAGGATTGCTAGGATTGGTCAGTTACATTTACCTCTACCATAAATAAGCATACAAAATATCAAAAACAAAAGTCACTGTAATTAAAAAAGTTTTATTTACAACATTTCAAGAGAAGCAGTCACCAATAGGTACGAAAATACAACTGACTGACTCTGTAAACATCTAATTGTTCTCGAACTTAAACTTTTAAACGTGCTGATTTAAAGGTACATAACATGTATTATTACTGTGCAAAAGGTTGGCTCAATTGTTAAGAGGCCATTTATACTTCAGTTTGCATTATGATTGTCAAATCTCACAGATCTGTTCATCTGGATTTGAGTCGATTCAGTTGAAAAGTGGCATTTTTGCACAGTTAAATTACACAGTATAATCATCTGTGTTAATCAGTACAAATTTCAGATTAAAGTTAAGATTATAACAATCAAGTGAGCAGGTAAAATAAATTCATGTAATGATTTCATATCATTCATGTATGTCTGTGTAACTTTGGTACAAACAAAATAGTAAACTACATAATATAGTTGTTTAAAAAAAAAATGATTAAAAAGCCACGTATGGCATTAAAATCTCTCTTTATGTAGGACGGTATTTGGGGGTGGTCTTTTCGCTTCTGTAAGGATTAATGTGCATCTATCTCAGAATCTGTACCAATACCAGCAGAGTTAGAGTCCTGATGATCACCATGACCCGGTCGGCCCAGTTGTGACTCGATGCGCTCTTGAGCTGGACTCCTCCAACGTGGTTTTGGATGAAGTTACTAAAGCTGGACACTTTAGCATAGACTCCAGGTCGGTTCGCTTTAGCACAGCTGAGACCGAAGCTCACGATTCCAGCTTGCACCCAACTACCATCGCTGATCTCACACACCAGAGGGCCACCGGAGTCACCCTGAAAAAGCACGAGAGCAGAAAGATATTATGAACATGAGCAATGCACAAATAAGGTGATGTTGCATTTCACACAGCAGCACTCGATGCTCCTCACCTGGCAGGCGTCTTTGCCCCCTTCTTGGAAGCCAGCACACATCATGTCACTGCGGATGTCGATGTTATTTGTGGGGTTTGTCAGATACATATCCTGACAAGTGTTCGAGTCAATGATTGGCACTTGGACTTCCTGCAATGGGCCAACCCCCTGTAGAGCAACTAAAAGAGATGAGAAAATCATTTGAAACTGCTTTTGTGTCTCCTTTTAAACCCTAAAACTACTTTTTAGTTAATGATCTGTAAGACTGGGTCTTGATGTTTTGAAAAATGGGTATAAAGTGTGTTGATTCTACAATACGGTGTAAAAACGTCTTAGTGCTGCCCTCTTCAGGTTGAACGGTGGCTACTGCAGTTGAATTTTCCTATTGGATGTTGTGTCACATTGCCTATAGAGAGTGATGCGGGTCTCGGGTGCACACCCCCTCCGAGATGCAGATAATCCAGTCAAAAACGCTGTCTGATGGGGCATTCGAAAATTGTTCTTGACCCTTAAGACACTAATTAATGCTGTCACATAACAAATCTGCTTCACAGGTCAAATTAAACGAATTGCTATTTACAGCATTAAAGTAAAAATATAAAGCCTGTACAAATACTAGAAATCGTGAAATAATGAAATAATTGGGAATCATGACATGTAGCAAAGTACATTTCATTTATCAATTATAACATTTATGTTGTTTAAAGGGGGGGGGGGGTTGATTGCGATTTCACTTTTTTCATTTTAAAGGTGCCATATAACATCATAAATCAAATCCTACTCCATATTCCATAACAGATGGGGGCAGTATACCTCCAAAAAATGACTTGTGCTCCTACCATCGCGCATGTTATTCAAATCATTTGACATGATAGTAAAAGGTTGGAAGACCGCAGTTTCACGTGGAACATTTGGAGATTTTTAGAGATCAGAGACTCAATGAACTAAACACTAAAGTGAACTAAACTAAACACAATGAATCTCAACACTAAATGATGAAGACCGCCTCATAGATCTCAAAAACAAGCTGGTGCATTTCGACGGTATGGGAAAATAAAAGCTTGGGCAATTATTTGAAGTTTATGGTATTCGTTTTGTTTATATTACACTTTTATTGTTAGTGAATTAATTTGACAGACAGCATTCGCTGATGTTGATCAAGCTAGCGCCGTGAATTCACCGTGAGACACACGCAATTGACACTTAGCAAGCAGGTTAGTTAAGCTCTCAGATTCTGTCAATTTTATTACGCAATTCAAAGAATAAATACCGTTTTGGCGCTTGTAAGTTACATGTTACACCACAGATCCCTAGCGCACGTGAACCGATCGTCTCTACTAGCTTGAAAAAGAACACGAACACTGGTGAAAGATACAGTATGCTACAACTTACCAAAATGTATTCCTCATGCATAATGTCGACCAATCATTTTTTGAACTCTTCCCTGAACTGAAATGTAGTAATTGGCTGTATTTCCACACGACTGACATCAGGTTCAAGTACACACACTCGTCTATTGCAGTTTGGCTGGTGCTAACGTTGCCCGTCCGCATACCGCCTCCCATGGCCGGAACTGGTATTACGATACCTGCCGGGCCGGGGCTAGTAAATTAGCATGCTAATTCAGGTTAATATCTCGGCAGCACTATAACTTGTCAGTTTTTTAATGACATCTTTGCACTTATTTCTTCTCATTCTTTTGATGCGTGTAGCTCATTTTTCGTATATTGTTACCTCAATTATTACATATGCCACCTTTAAATAGTGTGTAATGTTGCTGTTGGTGCATGAACAGTATCTGCAAAGTTGCAGCGCTGAAAGTTTAATGTAAGCAGAGATATCGTCTTTTATAAATCAGGAAGTATATTGCCTACAAAAACGACTGGATTGGGACTACAGCTGGGTTTTACGCGTCAATAACCCACACATTTGCATCAACGCTCCCTCCGGAATATGCAGAAAAGGGCATGGCCATGTTTCTGCGGCTCGTCGAGTGTGTTGTGTCCACCAGCTGTCAGGTCTTCTGTGTTCTAGCTTCCCACGGACGCTGTACTCCGTCAACAATGGATACAATTTATGTTTTATTATGTTCCTGAAAATAATGATTGTAATTTAGCTCTTTGAGCGGCGCATTTTATGGAAGACAGCTTCCAGAATCTCCACAAATTCAATGCCGGATTCAACAAGAAACTGTTACTAAAACATGAAGCAGTTCCAACTTTAAAACCACAGGCAGCAGTTTTTGGGCCATTAAGTAGGCTAACACTTAATCATTTTAAATGTATTTGCCTGTATAATTCAAGACGTAGCCTTGTGTTTTATTTTTTTCAAATGCCAGCGCTGGCTTTATAGCCACTAGGCTACTAGTTATGCTATTTTGTGTCTACGACAAACACGTACAAACATTATGGACCTGAATTTTGTATAAATACCAATGTTGCAAATGTATTTTTCATGTATATATGCTTTACTGCAGTTTGACACCATTGTTTACATCTGGACCGGAGCTCATGACATGCGCGTTTCACCGGTAAAGGTAATGGGCGTTAACCTTCCGGACAACATGAGCGACAGTTTAGCCAATCACAACACACCTGTCCAAACTAACCAATCGGAGCACATCCGTGAATTTGTTTGAAGAACCAAATTATCCAGAGATCAGTTATAACGATAAGAAGAGCTTCTGTCAAACAATCTCAGATGTATTAAGCGAGGTACGAAGGACGCACCCCAATTCAGGGTTGATTTTAAGCTCCTGGTATTTGTGTACAATTCCTTGAATGGGTTAGCATCCTACCTGTCAGAGCTCTTGCTGGTGTACAAGCCCCTTAGGATATTAAAGAGGTGATGAACTGAGGTTACTGGGATTTGATAAAAGTGGGAAACTATGACGTCACGGAGGATAAAACACCACCCCCGCAGAAGATGATCAACGCCTACTTCAACACGGCCGGTTTAGCCCCGCCCACCGATTCGCACATTACACACATAGTTAAATAACATCAGGCCTACCTCGTGATGACAAACCGGATCGAGCTACCGAGCAATACAGAATATTGTGCAGTGCCTGGTTGTGGAAGACAGTTTCCAATAGGACTGCATAGATAAACTTTATTTTTAATGACGTTCTAGCTGATGAGGGTAAAACATTGTTCGTCCTTTCGCTACATTTTACTGAGGATTGTTTTGTACACAAGACTAGATTTGCAGACTGATTAAGCGTAAAGACGCCACGGTGCTGTGCCGCCTATATTAGATCTGACAGGAATGGTCCAACACACGGACTCTGGGTCGAACATAACGAGTTGAAACCAGTGGTGGAAAGAGTACTAAAAAAACATACTCAAGTAAAAGTACCATTACATTCCAAAAAATGTAGTATGAGTAGAGTAAAAAGTACTTGTCCAAAAAACTACTTGAGTAAGAGTAAAAAAGTAGCTTATTTCAAAGTACTCAAGAGTAGTGAGTAGTGAGTACTGAGGTGCGGATTCTAACCCTTATAATAAACACTGTGCACTACAATTTATAAATTAAAAAAAATGCACATGCTGGAATTCACATTATATTTTGTTCTTTGTAAGAAAGATTGAAGAATATCTATCATCCATCTTTTTAAAATGCATCAAATCAGTACACTCATCACCATTTAAATCATATTATTTGGGGGGAAAAGCATTTAAAATTAGGCGAAAAGCCACTGGGCCTGAGCATGTTATTGTTGCACATAAAATATCAATATTCATAACTGTGCAAAGAATTCAAAAACCTTTAGAAACTCATATGAAAGTTCAGCATCACACACCAAGAGATGGGTTAAATGAAATAAAAAAAATACCCAATTTCTCTCCAAACCGTTACCAATGTTAGTGTTTTGATAAATTAGAATCACTAATATTATCATATTACCTTAACTAATGCACTGAAAAAGGCTAAGATAGTGAGCTAACACTAATTACACACTTTTATTCCATGCTATTAATAAATATGTTGCAATTTAAACGTAAATGCATTGTTCTAGAAGGGTGGCATCATCCCTTACATTTTACACGGCTACATTTACTCACACTGTAATGCTAATATAAAGTAAGGAAAATCGTGCATTAAATAGGGAAGTTATATCCAGGAAACCTTTACAAAAGAAACAAACACACTTTGTCTCTGAAGTCTTGGCTAAGCTGTTTTATCAGCAGCATCCACAAAAAAAAAAAAAAAGTTCAGCATGAAAAATGTTTTTGCGCAAGTGCACTTGCCAAATGAAGACGGATCGTATAATGGATCAATCAAAAAACGCTGTTTATTAACGAGCTGTGCTAATTTCTTATTAAGTAATGCAGTTCAAGTTAACGACATGGTGCACTGATTCTGAATCTGGGGGCATGGCGAGCGCGAGACGCGGCAGTGCACAGATCGTGACGCTCGTCTCTCTATAATGTGATTGTGAAGGAAATGGCAGCGGGAATTCACCGCATTATGAACTCGTCTCGCAATACCCCCAACCTCAGACCAAATGTTAGGCCATGTAGACAGGCCAGCCTATATAAATATCATATTAAGCAGAAATGTGAAATGTACCTTAGCATATTAGAGGAAGACGCTGATATCTGGGTTGAATTGATGCGTGATGAATGCACTTCCACAGCAGTCACGAGTAACAGCAGGAATAGGCGGTAAGTTTTGCGATGCTTAATTTGAATTGATGACAGTCACGAGACCGATTACTCGATCCAATCACGTTGACGGATAAAAATTAAATTAAAACAAGCATGTAACGAGTAACGGCCACAAATAGAAGAGAAATAGCGGAGAAAAAGTACCGATACATCACTTAAAATGTACTCAAGTAAAAGTAAAATTACACAATTTTAAACTTACTCAAAAAAGTACAATTTCTGAAAAAAAACTACTTAATTACAGTAACGTGAGTATTTGTAATTCGTTACTTTACACCCCTGGTTGAAACTCATTGTAATATGCAAAACTGTTATCCACTCACAGCAGTGGGCGTTTACTTCCAAGTCTTCAGTGCAAGACGCCCATAAAAACTGAGCGTTTTTCAGCTACGCTCAACACTAGGGTAGAAAATAGCCTATTACTTATTCATTTTGATGTTTTTGAACGCAAAAACCAAGCGAACGTCATAAGTTGACCTCAGACAACAATATAATAACATTTAAAAAGCCAGTTCATGACCCCTTTAAGGTCTTCTGACCAGTCTGTTTTAATTGTTCATTGGACTAGGTATAAGTGAAGGAGGGATCTGGCCTTTGCAGTGGCAGCACTGAAGAGAAGGAATAGCCTACCATCTCACATTAGACTCGCTCTAACTCTAACCATTTTTATAAGACATCTGAAGGCAAATCTTCTTTGCTTATCTTTTGAGACTGCAGTGTGTGGTTTGGTTTGTACTGGTTTTGTCTGTGTTATGATGTTGTTGTTTGATTTTATTGGGAAAAAATGTATTGCACAGCACTCTGGTCAACACTCTGTTGTTTATAGTGTGCTTTATAAATTGAAAGCACCCTTAAATAACTGTACTCACTCACCTCCCTCTCGGATGTCACCCCATCCGGTGATCATGCACTTCATGTCGCTGCTGAACTCCACATTAGCATATGGCAAGCACACAGGCTGAATGCGGTCAGACCACACAACAGGTGTGCTTAGCTCTACCAGAGCAATATCCTGACCAAACTCAGGGTCAGTGTAACCCAGAGGAACCACCACACGACGGACACCATGGCTCGACTCGTCCGGGTTCCAACCGTTCAGCTGCGTTCGGCCCACGTAAATCGTGTAGGAGGAGATGTCATTAGGGCTGGACAGAGAGGAAAAATGTTTATTTTGATTATATATAAAGAAGTCAAGATTTAAAGTGGATCAAAAATGTTCAAAGACAAGAACGAATATTGTTCAAAATTCACTGATGAAAGGTTTTGATCCACTTCAAATGTTAACTACTGTGTATATTTATACACTCACCTAAAGGATTATTAGGATACCATACTAATAGTGTGTTTGACCCCTTTCACCTTCAGAACTGCCTTAATTCTACGTGGCATTGATTCAACAAGGTGCCGAAAGCATTCTTTAGAAATGTTGGCCCATATTGATAGGATAGCATCTTGCAGTTGATGGAGATTTGTGGGATGCACATCCATTCATTCCACCACATCCCAAAGATGCTCTATTGGGTTGAGATCTGGTGACTGTGGGGGCCATTTTAGTACAGTCAACTCATTGTCATGATCAAGAAACCAATTTGAAAATGATTCGAGCTTTGTGACATGGTGCATTATCCTGCTAGAAGTAGCTATCAGAGGATGGGGACATGGTGGCCATAAAGGGATGGACATGGTCAGAAACAATGCTCAGGTAGGCCGTGGCATTTAAACGATGCCCAATTGGCACTAAGGGGCCTAAAGTGTGCAAAGAAAACATCCCCCACACCATTACACCACCACCACCAGCCTGCACAGTGGGAACAAGGCATGATGGATCCATGTTCTCATTCTGTTTACGCCAAATTCGGACTCTACCATCTGAAATCGAGACTCATCAGACCAGGCAACATTTTTCCAGACTTCAACTGTCCAATTTTGGTGAGCTCTTGCAAATTGTAGCCTCTTTTTCCTATTTGTAGTGGAGATGAGTGGTACCCGGTGGGGTCTTCTGCTGTTGTAGCCCATCCGCCTCAAGGTTGTGTGTGTTGTGGCTTCACAAATGATTTGCTGCATACCTCGGTTGTAACGGGTGGTTATTTCAGTCAAAGTTGCTCTTCTATCAGCTTGAATCAGTCGGCCCATTCTCCTCTGACCTCTCGCATCAACAAGGCATTTTCACCCACAGGACTGCCGCATACTGGATGTTTTTCCCTTTTCACACCATTCTTTGTAAACCCTAGAAATGGTTGTGCGTGAAAATCCCAGTAACTGAGCAGATTGTGAAATACTCAGACCCGTCTGGCACCAACAATCATGCCACGCTTAAAATTGCTTAAATCACCTTTCTTTCCCATTCTGACATTATAGGACCAGGACCACACCCCTAAATGCATTGAAGCAACTGCCATGTGATTGGTTGATTAGATAATTGCATTAATGAGAAATTGAACGGGGGTTCCCAATAATCCTTCAGGTGAGTGTGTAAATATATATATATATATATATATATATATATATATAGCCAAAAAAAACCTTAAACAAGGAATATATGGGTGTTAAAAAATGTGCATTGAAACTTACTTGGGAAAGCAATGTGCAGCAGACAAGACCCAGCTTTCCGAGATGATACTTCCTCCACACACGTGTCCTTCTGTAAATTTCTGTATGTACACATCAGCCAGCAATCAGGGGGATATCAATAAAAAATTCGACATTGATCACATCCGTATTGATTCAAAATTGATTCGACAGACAACAGACCTTATTCAAGGTAAAGCCCCATTTAATGTTTGACAAGAATGAAAACAGGGCTGTGAGGGATAGAAGTACTGTGTGTTCATTCAAATGATTCTACTGTTATTAACCAACAGCTGACGAAACGTCTTTCGAAAAAAATCCATAAAAGTTTTGAAAGGTGTGAGTTTTGCAAATGGTGTGATCTAGGACTTTTATACGGTGCTTTCCATTGTAAATAGTTTAAGTCTATCCTTTACAGCCTTGTTTGATATGCTTCCTAACCTGACAAAGGTCAATTCTAAATGCATCCTAATCCTTGCCCTTAAAATAATAAGAACATTGGTTTGACTGAGATTTGGATTCAGGCAAGATCCAGAGGCCATTTGTTTCTTTATTTAAAAAAAAAAAAAAAACAGGGCAAGGACAAAAAAAAAAGATTTATATTCATCAAAGGGTTAAAATGTGGAATGACTGTGAGAGGGAATTTCAAATGTGTAGTTCACTTTGCAAATTTGTATACATTTTTGAAAAGTTTAAAAATGCTTTTGCCATAATGAGATGCATGTTCTTTTATGCTCCTTACCAATGTTCTCATTACCATTTTTTGTAGCCTATATGACAGACACTCCTTTTTTAAAGTGATTTCAATCATATTTCAAGCAATTCAAAACCATCATGTTGAACAGTGCACATCTGAATTGTTTTAACTGAAGGAAATAATATATTATTATCGGCCAAATTATCTCATTAGGCCGATAAAATGAAAAAATATATATCAGCTGATACGGATAAGGTGCATCCCTAAAAATAAGGACACACAATGACCAATAAAATGACAACATATAAAGCACAATATTTAACCATTAAACACTACCAACATCTTTCAGCACATTCTTAAACATAGACGGCAGATCTTTCCACAGTCTCTGCACTATTACGTCAAAGGCTCGATCGCCTTCATGTAGGCGATTCGTTCTAGGGGTGTAACAACATATCGCAATACAAAAATGCAACAATATGTATCATGGATAGTAAAAATAAAAATGACTGTGTGAGAAAAAGTTTTCAGAGTTGTAGTGTCAGTAATACTTAAACTGTTATATATAATGTTGATTATAATGTATAATAATGCAGTGGGGGAATATTTGTGAGTCCTAATAATTCCAAATATCTTTTGTTACCAGTAAAAAGCGGTATTTATTTTACATTTATTTATTTTAAATATATCTAGTCAGTGACAGAGATCATGCATATTCGACTAAATAATTCTGTATTTTCAGCTTCAGAATATTGTTATTCTGGTGTCGACTTTGTCCTTGGGTTACAAGCACCAAGTCCAAGCCTATTCACTTACACACAAACTGTAATATTGTAATATCAAAGTTAGCATTTTAATCAACAGTACATTTTTTTCTTAACCTTTTATTACATCAGAATCAGAATATGTTTTGGAGTATCGCAATAATATCGTATCGTGATATGTATCGAATCGTGACATGAGGGAATCGTTACACCCCTGCTAGGCACTAGAGGAAGTTTTTGATTCTCTGAGAGTAATGTTCTGGAGGGATTATACAGGATTAAAAGGTTTGCCAGATGCGGTGGGGCCTTGTTATTTAAAGATTTATATAAAAAAAAAATAATAATAAAATAAATACTTCATAAATACAATAAATACAGTCAGGGCTACTTAAATTGAAGGACTTGGTTTCTTTACAAACTTTGTTAGTTGTTCACAAAGCTAAACACTGCCTGTTACCGTGTGGACTGCAAACCCTTTTCACTTTAAACAGTGAGACAAGCAGAAGAAATAATGACTTCAAACAACCTTTTGCTGGAAATACCCTCAAACAAATGTGTTTCAGTCTCTGGTGTGAAAAGATGGAATCTTCTAGAAAATGATCTAAAATGTTGTTCAAATATCTTACAATTTAAAAATAATTATAAACAAAAGATACTTAAAGTCTATAAAGAAGAATGTGAAAACTAATAGAATTATTACAATAATTATGCTTTCGTTGCTATTCTGGCTGTTGGATCTGTCATTATTTTATCCTTGTTGGTTTTGTTTATCTAGTATCATGTAAGCAGAATTAGTATTAATAGATGATAATAATAATAATAATAATAATAATAATATTAATTATAATAATAATAGACAAAGAGAGAAAAATGTTTTATAATTGAAGGTAGATTATATCTGGTTTGGGCTTGTCGTATATGTATAGACCAACGCCACTTTTGCGTCATCGTTGGGTAACGCCCCCTTTTGGGGGAAAACACCTCTATACTGTCTATGGGAAAACAAACGGATTCCCATGAGAACAGAACTCGCACTAGATCTGCAAAGTTTCTTGATAGCAAAAATGGCACAAACTTAAAGAAGCTAACGTTACTGAATACGGGGTTACAGAGGTGTCCCTTTAAAATGGTCGAAAACTGGATTAATGACCCCACACAGCGGCCAAATATGGACTATTCAGACATCTAACGTTACCACTATCTCGTGGAATCACCAAGTAAGTTAAGCACGTAGCATTTTTTTCATTAACACTCACATTATGACAAACTAGACGATGAATGGATCATATTTAACTTGATTTAAGCTATTGACATAGTCTAATTAAGTAACGTTAGCTGCTAACAGCTTAGTCTTTCTAATAGCTAGTCGACAACAAAACTGTAGCTTAAATCAAGTTAAATATGATCCAAGTGACATGGCCTCATCGTCTAGTAGTTTGTCATAGGCTACTGTGAGTGTGTAAATGATAAATAAATAAATAAAAAGGCTAACGGTTACTTACTTGGTGATTCCACGAGATAGTGGTAACGTTAGATGTCTGAATAGTCCATATTTGGCCGCTGTGTGGGGTCATTAATCCAGTTTTCGACCATTTCAAAGGGACACCTCTGTAACCCCGTATTCAGTAACGTTAGCTTCTTTAAGTTTGTGCCATTTTTGCTATCAAGAAACTTTGCAGATCTAGTGCGAGTTCTGTTCTCATGGGAATCCGTTTGTTTTCCCATAGACAGTATAGAGGTGTTTTCCCCCAAAAGGGGGCATTACCCTTCGATGACGCAAAAGTGGCGTTGGTCTATATGCATGTGCATATATATACATTTTTTTTTTCTTTAAGTTTTCTGTTGTTTGTCATTTTATGTTGGTGAGGTCATCTAATTTGTGAATTTTGTTTATAGGAATGGGGTAGGAGCTTATAAGATTTTTTTCTTCATCCTACTCCTGTTCTTTTCTTTGTCATGGAATGTACTTTGTGTTGGTTTGATTTGTTAAATTTGTGGTATTTCGTGTTGCATTACCATGAAAAGAGAGAATAGAAAATAAATGAAATGAAATACAACGTATTGTACCTAATTCTTTGATGGACAGGGAGCCATTTTAGAGAAGCTAATACAGGTGTAATTGATTCGTGTTTCTTTAGCCTCCTTAAGAGCATTTTTCCGCACCACAGCATTTTGCACTTACTGTAATCGAGACAAAAGTGTGGAGGCGATGCCAGAATACAGAAAGTTACAGAAATCCAGCAGCGATAGAATAAATGTATGGATTACCCTTTCAAAAGCCTGGACTACTAAGTTCATTTGCGATTCCATTTCCAGGTTATTATAAATTAAAAAAAAACTCAATCTCTTACTGACATTTTTCGAGCAAGATGCCAGGGGACTCGAATCTAATAGAACTTTAGTGAAGTTATTTGGGAGGCCAAAAAAATGACCTCAATTTTATCCTGTTTTTTTACATACTCCAATGTTGTATGTTAATAAAACACTAAAAGTGAGTCAAATGAATTAGTAGAGTGCCTGAGTGGTAGATAGAGTTGAGTGTCGCCGGTGTAACACTGAAATGTCACTCCATACTTTATAAATGCTACCCAAAGAGAGCAAACATAAAGAAGAAAGTGTGGGAGAAAGAATTTCCCCTTACAGAACCGCTCACGGAAGACGTCTTTTACCCGAGGCTGCATTACATTTGACTTTAATATGTCAAATTATGTATAGAAGTGTATGAGGAACAAAACAAAAAATAAAATGATGATGATTTTGCTTTAAATTAATAGTAACTGTTCTGATCAGATCACGCTGTTTCTCTACTGTCTGAGCTACAGGAATGTATGCTGTAAATAAATTCTCTCAGGTTTTGTTTTCAAAAGTTTTACTTTCATAATCCATGCCATTATTACCTGGATATCCACCTGCCAAGGCCAAGCACCTTCTGACGCAGAATAACCTCCAACAATCCTGTTCATCATTGGTGGCCGACCACATTCTGAGAAAAAGACGTTGATTTTGTTGATTTGTTTGCTTTCCTCTCACAAAACAATTCACACACAACAGGGATCTTAAAAAAGATTATAAATGTATCACACAAAAGATATTTTTCAAACGTGTACACACTTTAATACGTATTTTAACTATATACTTAAGTGTATAACATGATATAATTTATTTTAAGTGTAGATTTTAGCTAGTATGTTTCCCTCATAAACAACGTCAATCTCCAAACTTACCTTGAGCCTCGCCCGTCCATAACCCTGAATGGCGCCCGACATAAAGCAAAACAATGAAGTTACAACCCAACATTAATTATTAATCCATTCTCAAAATATATCCTTATTGTAAGTTAAGTTGTGCACCTACCAATCAATATGACGAAGACAATCCAACAACATTTGGCGCACCGCATCTTATCAAAACACCTGTTTTCCGTGGCGTCTTCACAAAAGTCCAACTTTCTTGATAATTCAGCGGAGATGGACGAACTTTAAAAAGCTGATGTTTCTAGAAATAGCCTCCTCACTGCCTTGGTCGACGAAGTAGGGCGAAGAGAGGATTAGTAGACGTCGGGAGTTTCGCTCATGAAAAAAACATTAACCGAGATTTGTTCTTCAAACACGGTCTTCCTACCTGTCCTACAATGACCAATCAGGAGCGTTCGTCCCGCCTAGAGTGAGAATTGGCACCGCCCACTTGATCACCTTTAGCGGTTTTGGTTTCTCATGGTTTGTTTTTAGAAATTCTCCGAGAATGTGGTAGGGCAAGGTTGGTAGTGGACTGATGAATAGGCCTACAAGTTTTTAAATGTAGGCTCTCAACAAACATTGTGTGTTGCCTAATCTAAACAACATAGTAGCGTCAAGGTCTACAGTTCTGCTTTGTGGAGGATTTGTTGATTTAGCCTAATTGTTTCTAATAAAAGCTATATAGGCTACTTTATCTTCGTCTATGGCATTATGACATGTGTCATCTAATACTGCTGTGTGGGTTGAAGGAACATTGTCAACAAGTTTTAGCAATCAGTCAGTCCCTTGTTCTATGCACATGACTGAGAAACAAGTATAACAGGTTTAGACATACTGGCTTCAACACCTAATGACAATGAAGTTATCAACAACAAGAATCATTAGGCCTATATCTAGTTTATTTGGTGATCATGAGTTTGTAATTATGTGCACATGTTAAAGTGTTAAAATAAGTGTTCTCAGCTAAATAACTGTTTTTACTTTGTTTAGAATTTTTCTAAACAAAGTAAAAACAGTTATTTAAGAATCATTTATAATATTACAGTGTCTTTATTATTGAAAATAAACCCTGCAGGGTGATCCAGGACCATTGATGATCTGATAAGTCGTTGACTGTACATTCCCCCACTTATGAAGGTATAAATAAATAAGCATGCAACACAGATTTTAGATAAAACTAATCATGTGTGTAATGAGTGACATGAAACCAGCAGTGCAGGAGATTAGTTCCCATGGCTATCAGTCAAAGCAGCCATTGTATTACAGGGGTCATGAATTGAGAAATCGAAATTTCTTCGATCTTTTGACACATAAAAGTTAAATATAAACCTTTTTATAAAAGGTAACAGTGTTCGAGTGTGAGGCTGCTCTATTTTTACAATTTTCTATATAAATATAAATATTTCAAAATATAACTATAATAACACACTGTTAATTGAACTGAACCCAAACTTTATTATTATTTCAAAAATTGTTGTTATTGGAACCAAACTAATTTAACTAGGCTACTGTTATTGAAACCAAGATAATATTGTGGCAGGAGGAGCAAACGACGGAGAGTCAAGTCAAGTCAAGTCACATTTATTTATATAGCGCTTTTCACAATACAGATTGTATCAAAGCAGCTTCACAGTGATAACATGTAAGTAGCACAACACAGATCAACAACATTGCTAAACACTAAATAAATAACCCCAACTGAGCAAGCTCAAAGCAAGCCAAAAGCAAGGCGACAGTGGCAAGGAACCAAACTCCATCAGATTGGATGGAGAAAAAACCTTGGGAGAACCCAGGCTCAGTCGGGTGCCAGTTCTCCTCTGGCTTACATTCAGAGGCATTTATTAAATAAAATAAACATAAAATGTCCAAAAAAATGGAAATAAAGTGTTACAATAAAAGTGGATCTTGTGTTCTCGTGCTGGTGTCAGTAAAGGAAGAGTAGTATATGGGATGGGTCCAGGTAAGGGGGCGGTGCCCGACGTGCGCGCTCTGTTCTTGGGCGCGAGGGGCGGCGGCTTCGGCATCGCGCCTTTTTTTTTTTTTTTTTTTCAAAATTAGGACTTATAGCCTATATTTTATAGTCTATGCTTACAGCAGGAAAAGAACATCTTCTGTACGTCCATAAAGTCTATGGACAAATCACACATATGCCATTCAAAAAATATAGGAAGTAAGGCAAAAGAAAAAAAGAATTTTTTTTTTTCTAAATAAATATCTTCTAATGCTTACATAGGTCATAGGCCTATGTTTTAACAGCTTTTTTGTTTGTACACTCAGATATTGAAATAACGTAGCAGCAAGCTCCATTTTTTTTTTTTTTTTTTTAGAAATTTTGAATTATGCAAATCAAATTTGGTTAAAAAAAAGCAAATTAATTCGGCATCGCGGCTTGTCCTCATGAGGCTTCATTCAGCTTCAAATCAGATACTTCCCTATAGTAAGCGAAAAACAACGTGTAAAAAAAGAAGTATGTCCAAACTTACAGTAGGCCTATACTCATAAGACAAGGCAAAATGTCCCCATGACCTCTACTTCCGGCAGATTCTGAAGTGTGCATATTGACTCTTTACCCATGAGGCAGTGAGGATGAATGGCTGTGAAGCGACACAACTGATGCGGGCAGATGATATTGACAACATGGCACACATTCATACAAAAGATACTTTTTTTAGTGGTCTTATTATTCAAAATAAGAACCTACTCAAGAGAGTATGCAGAGGCAGCATTTTTAGCCAGAGAGTCCGCTGGCAGCATAAGGCGGGAGAAAGAAAGAGCATCTGATGATCATGTCACATCCTGTTTACTGTATACCTTCATCTATAGATGATGAAAGACAGCATATGTATCCTTCACAGCCTATGATATTCCACAACTCATCTGAAAGTTGTGGTTGGTGGTCAGTTTGTATGTAGCCTATGTTTTTGACCAACATTTTCCTTTAAATGCCATGTCTATAGTTTTTTAGTAATGAAATATTAGTTTATTATCATCAAAGCTCTCTATATTCTTTGTTGTAAATCATTAATGCTGCCTCAGAAGTAGACCTAGGCTATGTGGAAGTCAAGAGTTTAGGCAACAGGTCATTTGCAGATGATTTTTGTAGACCATCTCTTTACTGACTATCCCAGAAATTCTGCTGTTACACACGGAAATAATAATAACAAGTTAAAAAAAATGTATACCATATACCACCTCAAAGCTCTCAGTAGCCTATGTCTGTCTTAAAAATACATTCCCCCAATAGAAAACTGTTTTACCTCTGAAACTACTGTTGCACTTTATGATAAGAAAAAAATGCATGACAGCAAAAGAGCATAGGCTACATAAAATGGTTCACATTTACATTACACAGAACAACAAAAATAAAAGATTGTGAAATTAATCATTTTCTGTTTGAAATTTTCGGAATTGGCACAAGAGGGCGCTGACACTTTTATAAATCGGCCAGAGGCAGATCATCATTATGAGTCCGTGTTCACCTTGCCCAGTTCCCCTGCCTCTTCTGCCCTTAATAATAATAATAATAATACATTTGATTTATAACGCCCTGTTCTCACATCTTGCACCCTTGGCTACTGCTCTCTCTCTCTCTCTCTCTCTCTCTCTCTCTCTCTCTCTCTCTCTCTCTCTCTCTCTCTCTCTCTCTCTCTCTTTTTTTTCTGTGTGTGTGTGTGTGTTCCTCTCATGCTTTGGCCTCGGGCTCTGTGCTATGGCTGTGTCTGCTTCTATAGCACGATTGAAGGTGACAGGGACAGAGAGGAGGGAGAGAGTGGAGGAGAGAGGAGGATGAACCGCGATGTCGCCAGGAGCAACAAACACAAGAAAAAAGTGTAAAGTTGAGCGCGTGTAACAGAAAAGAACAGGGTGTATAGACACACCAAAAGGTGTTGAAGGAAGCCTCGGTTCCAACAAGCAGCAAGAACACACAAGCTCAAAATATGGGGAAGTTTCTTTTTCATATGCAGAAGAAACCCTGCAGGCAGAAATCTATTCTTTCTCTTTAGTGTGCTGTAGATCATGCTGACTGTGAGACTGTCCCAGGATGAGCTACACGAGTTATTTGATAAAGCCTCTCAGCTCGACTTTGTTTTAAAGACTTGATGAATATTTGTCATGGCATTGTTGCTATGGTGACCACCCCTTCGTCATTGCCTCCCCCCCATGTTTAACCCCCAGCGCTAAGAAAAGATATAGAGAGGGATGGAGAGATGGAGGGGTGAGGAGGGGCTAGTTAAAAAAAAAAGCATGCCTCAAAGCTACATGAATCTCAGCAAGAAATTACACACGCACACACACACACTGGCACAGTTGATGGAAATTTGTGGGATGCACATCCAGGGCACGAAGCTCCCGTTCCACCACATCCCAAAGATGCTCTATTGGGTTGAGATCTGGTGACTGTGGGGGCCATTTTAGTACAGTCAACTCATTGTCATGTTCAAGAAACCAATTTGAGATGATTCGAGCTTTGTGACATGGTGCATTATCCTGCTGGAAGTAGCCATCAGAGGATGGGGACATGGTGGCCATAAAGGGATGGACATGGTCAGAAACAATGCTCAGGTAGGCTGTGGCATTTAAACGATGCCCAATTGGCACTAAGGGGCCTAAAGTGTGCCAAGAAAACATCCCGCACACCATTACACCACCACCACCAGCCTGCACAGTGGGAACAAGGCATGATGGATCATGTTCTCATTCTGTTTACGCCAAATTATGACTCTACCATCTGAAATCGAGACTCATTAGACCAGGCAACATTTTTCCAGTCTTCAACTGTCCAATTTTGGTGAGCTCTTGCAAATTGTCGCCTCTTTTTCCTATTTGTAGTGGAGATGAGTGGTACCCGGTGGGGTCTTCTGCTGTTGTAGTCCATCCGCCTCAAGGTTGTGTGTGTTGTGTCTTTGCTGCATACCTCGGGTGTAACGAGTGGTTATTTCAGTCAAAGTTGCTCTTCTATCAGCTTGAATCAGTCGGCCCATTCTCCTCTGACCTCTCGCATCAACAAGGCATTTTCGCCCACAGGACTGCCGCATACTGGATGTTTTTCCCTTTTCACACCATTCATTGTAAACCCTAGAAATGTTTGTGTGTGAAATTTCCAGTAACTGAGCAGATACTCAAACCGGCCCGTCTGGCACTAACAACCATGCCACACTAAAAATTGCTTAAATCACCTTTCTTTCCCATTCTGACATTGTCTTGACCAGGACCACACCCCTAAATGCATTGAAGCAACCAAGATGGGTTGATTAGATAATTGCATTAATGATAAATTGAACAGGTGTTCCTAATAATCCTTTAGGTGAGTGTACGTCGTCATGGCATTATCATAAATGGTCAAAATGCTTAAAAAATATTAAAAATAATAATAATAATTCAACACGTTTATTTATTCACTGGCTATTTCTGAGGGGTCATCTTATGCCAAGTGTCTAACTTTAAAATACATCATTTGTTGTTTTCTTTTTTCCTTCACAACCTCTCTCTTCTTATTTTATTTTATTCTTTATATTTTATTTTAGCACTTTATAGCACAGGATTAGTTTATGATTCTAAATATAACTGCCTAATGAAGAAGTGTGTATGAGCGAGACGGAGTGGTAGGGGATGTAAAGTGTGGTCAACTGGAAATAAACTAATGTGGCATCCCCCTGTTCCCCAACCTAAAGTCACACACACACACACACACACACACACACACACACACACACACACACACACACACACACACACACACACACATGGGTTTATTTACCACCATCCAACTCTCATTGTGCTCTTATTCCTTCCTCGACATGTACTTAGAAAATGTCACATAATTCTGTCTTCTTACTGCTATAATCTATCTCTCAATATTTTGTTCCCTCTTTTGGTCATAAGTCATGTGATCATGATGTAGCCTTAGTTAGTTATCCTACGCTTTCTCTTTTGAAATGTGCAGATTGTATTTACGCTTCAAAATTCATACAAGTTGTGTCCATTGGTGAAGATTATCATGATGAACACAAAACGTATAAGAATCATAAGCTTTTGTTAGCCACAGACCTTATTTTCTGCAATTATCCAAAAGCTATAATGGAAAAATCCTATTGGGTCCTATTGGGCCAAAAATATGCTAACCCTGCAGCATATACTGTATATTTCAGAGGGGTAAAGTGCAATTGGACTCGACTATTTAAAGCACTATTTAGAAATGTTTAGTAATTATTTAAATATTTATTTATTCAATCATGTATTCTCTTCAGATTCAGCCAATGATCAGAATGAAGGGAAATGAAAACATTCTCACTTCAGGCCTATGCAATGACCTCATATTGCCTCCCAAATCCCACTTTTCTTTTAAAGTGTGCAAGCTAATTAATATTAAACTGTGCTCTTTGCTGCCATTCCCCTCTTCATCTTTATCATCACTCCATTATCTCTCGAGGGTTTTTGCTGCTCTCTCTCTCTCTCGCTGGCATTAAGTTCAATCTTGACACTGATGTTGACTCACTGTGTCACTCTTTTCTCTCTCTCTCTCTCTCTCTCTCTCTCTCTCTCACTTCATGGACAATTGTGCCTGCAGATGCATCTCTCTGTCACTCCATGCACACAGGTCATTGTTAACAAGCAAGTGGGAAGTAAACCTTTAATAACAATTCAAATAGAGGGATAATATTGTGGACGCGCCGCTCGTAATGTAACAACTGGTGAGTCAGATTTGTACTATTTTTCTTTGTACTTTCTTATAATTTCATCAACTGCTGCACTGAATCCACAAATGTTGGTAAAAACAACAGGCAGAACATCTGAGTTACAGAATTCAAGCTTTATCTTTGAACATGGGCTATAGTTGTCCTTTTCTCAGTTCACTGTAAACCAAATGTTTGTTAATGTTTAGCTACCAAAAATAAAATAAAATAAGAGAACGTTTATTGCATTTATAGCAAAGCCACTATTATGAACTCTGATTTATCATTTGGCTTTCTAATTCACCAGCTGTATTGTCATTTATTATTTTAATAAAACAAGCACGCTTTGGTAAAAGTTCAGTCAATTAACATGAAATAATGAAATTAATAATATGTTTTGGCAGCAATATTCCATTCCATTATAGCAGAAACATTTATTTATTTATTACTGTGAATTTATGCCAACCAGATGACAGTTTGACAGCAAATGTAATAGGATATTTGGGTTCATTTTTAAAAGTAAATTTCCGTGTCGGCTTAAAAAAAAACGATTGAATATTTTCTGTTATTGCCCGGGAAAAAGATACAGTTCACTGATTTATGGGTGCTATGGGAACTGAATATATATAATTTGTGAAACCGCAGAAATGTAAAAGGAAACTGTTACGTGTAAAATTACAGCATTAAAAATATGTGACAATTTTACTTTATTATATCGTTGACCATCTTGTCAGTTTTCCAGTCAGTGTTTTTGATCTGGGCAAGCAAAGTATGAGGAGAAGTGAATTAAAATGCAGCACAAAACATTTAACAACTAAAGCAAAGAAGGCAATACTAGCCTACAATATCAGGGCTAAAACATAACAGTTTCACACTAAAAGTCGACATATGGGCACTTTCGATACACACTTCGTGCGAACCAGATTTCACATTTCACACCTCGAATCAAACTATCAAAGTCACGTGATTTTAGTAAACCCTTCGTAACGTCATAACAATTTCAATGGCGCAAAGAGCCATGTACAGTAGCCTAAAAGAAAAGTCCCCATGATGTTGTTGTCATTTTAGTCGCTTTTGGACTGATTAACCAAGCTCTCCATAACACAAAAACAACATAGCCTACTATACAGACACTTCATAAATGGTATTGGATAGTTTGTTGATTTGCATTTAGTAGATACTCTTTCATTAAAACATTTTCACTTGGTTTACAAAAGGTGTTTTTATATGAAGGTTTTCATTGCATTCACACATTTTGACCAGAAGAAGTCACCGGCCGCGGTGGCGGTTCGAGCGCTTCGAAACAGGTAATTATGATTCAATAGAGGGAATGCATTGACGTCACTTTCCCGCCGGAACAACCCCCCTCAGCCTGACTGAGTGGCAAAAGATCGGCTGCGTGACTGGATTTAATAGGGGAAACTGCGAAAATGCGACTAAAATGAACAATTTTATCAATTTAAACTCTATATGGTGTTCCTTACAACTCACTAAAAATCCAGTGATCCATGGATATTGACATGCAGCCAGGAATCGTGTTGCCTGACATTTATGTTTGCCTGATTTCAAAATATATGAAATATTTGAAATATATGGGTATGGTTTTACAGCTAAATTCAGCATATTGACACAAAATGATAACTGCAAAATCCACCTTTCGCTGACTGGAGTCCAGTTGATTCTGTGAATTGCAGCGATCCATTTGCTCCTCTTTCTGTAGCAGTCTGTAAAAACATAACTCAGATTTTTTTTTTCCTCAAATCTAGTTGTACTGTCAATCGCAAAGCTCTTTCCCACTTCATATGTGTTGTGTTTGTTTTTGCTAATTTAACATAGTACAGCTGCTCAGTCTTTTTGCCACTCACTGTAACTGTCTGCAGGCACTCCGGCCGACGGTGACGTCACGCGCTTAGTCACTCCCATAACTAACAAACAAAGAACTGAACAAACTGCATGGGGTGTAGTCTATATACGATAAAGAGCATAGATCTATAAAGAAACTCAGACTTGAGTAAAAGTACAAGTGCTCGATCAAAAAAGTGACTTGAGTAGAAGTTGAAGTGCTCTTTAAGCACCACACTTAAGTGGAAGTACTAAAGTATTCAACATTTTTTGTACTTAAGTATTGCAAGTAGTTTATTTTAAAATTCACTAAAAGTAAAAGTACAAGTATGTGTCATGTAATTATTAAAGAAAGCGGTCAAAAGTTTCAACTAGCAATCAAATAAGGTGCTTTGGTGGGATACAAATTTGCTTTGGCAGCCGCCAAAAAAAATGTCATTGCAGGACAACCCCTGCATTAGTTGTCAATGTGTGTGTCAATCAATACTATACCCTATAAAACTGGCGTGTGATTTAGGCAGCATGAAAGCCAACTTGCAACGAATGATTCGTAAAATTGTAACGAGTATAGCAGAAAATTAAAAAATATCGAAGTAAAAGTATTAAATTCATCGAAATGAAGTAAAAGTAGAAGTATGAGAAAAAACAATACTCTAGTAGAGTACAGATACATCATTTAGTACTACAGTACTTAAGTAGTTCTACTTCGTTACTATACATCTTAAGAGGAACATAACAAGAATCAGGTGCTCAACATAACAAGTAATTATAGTAACGAACAGGCAACGGGAATGTATAGGGATTAAAGGAAATAGGAACAAAACAAAAACATACAAACTAAAACACTTTACAATAATCTCCCATTATAGTTAACATTATAAAAGAGCTAACAATGAACAATGTGTTTTTACATCATTTATTAATGTTAGTTCATAAAACAGTGAATGTTCATGTTAGATCACAGCAGGGGCGTTTCTAGGTTTTAATAACATCAGGGGCTGGAGTAATGTATATTGCAGGCCTAAATGCAGAGGGCAGACTGGTTAAGAGAAAAACATCCCTGGCACTGTAACCAAACCAGCCCACATTACCACAGTCACGCACACTCAAATGTGAGGTAGTTAGGGCCAGAGGGGTTCGGGGAGAGACTCCCCCGAGAAAATTTGGCTTTCTGACATGTGTGCATTTTAATATTAATTCTGTATTGATTAATTCATGTTACCTCGACTGAAACCTTATTGTGAAGTGGTACTAAGCGTTAATATCACATTCCCATACAGTAAACATTACAAATGTTATAATATAATATAGAAATAATACAAACCGTCTGTGATTTTCAAATGGTGCCGTCAGATAAGTGTAATTACAGACAGTGAAGATGTATTATTTTTAATTCTCATAGCTTAATTTGTTTTCGAATGCACAAATCTGAACTGCACGCATATAGATAAATTAATACTCCTATACAGTGAAATATCAACTTCTTGACAGACTTTTTCTTTATATGTATAGAATGATGGTACTGTAATTCACTTTAATGTGTGTGAACGCATTTGATACTCTGTGTCTCCATTGTTCAGGGTCAAAGGAGATTGTAAATTAAGTCGAAACGGTCTCTTGTCTGTCTCTGTTCTGTGGCTGTAGTGGCAAGCGCAGGATGTTTGAGAGGTTAACCATGCTGAATCTCCAGAACACTTCCAACTGGAGTGGATCCAATGACTGGTACCATCAGCAGAGCAACGGCCCCAGCCAGCAGCACAGCACCGGTGAGAGAGAGTCTTAGACATATATATGCCTATACTATACATTAAAATGTGTGCGTACACTTGTTCGTGAGTAATTTAAACGTCTCAGGTTACGTATGTAACCCTGGTTCCCTGAGAGGGAATGAGAGTTGCGTTGTCAAACGCGATTTGAACGCTCTGCGTGATTGCGTCGTGAAGCGTCTGTACAATCAGTCCAATGAGAGAGTAGGACGTCAGGTGACGTAATCGACCAAGAAACTATAAAGCACCCTTGAGATCAGACCGCGACAGCTTCTGTGAAAGGCCTGAAGCAAGTCGATCAGGGCATGCAGGAAGTATGGCAGGCGAACGCAGCTCTCGTTCCCTCTCAGGGAACCAGGGTTACATACGTAACCTGAGACGTTCCCTTTCAAGGGAACTTCGAGCTGCGTTGTCAAACGCGATGGGAACCCCATACCCACAACGCCATGCTGAGAAATGCCCGTTCTGTGTGAAGTCCTTGCGCACACTAAGAAGCAAGCAACCTAGCCCCAGGAGTGGAGAGGCCAAGGTCATAAAATCTGACAAATGTATGCAGAGAGGACATCCTGCCGCATTACAAAAATCGAGAAGGGAAACACTCGGAATAAAGGCCGTAGAGGCCGCCATACTTCTAGTAGAATGGGCCCGAACAGCCATAGGTGAAAGCTGTTCAGCCGCTTCATAAGCTAATGATATAGCCTCGACTATCCATTTGCTCATAACCTGTTTAGATGCAGGGGACTCTTTCTTGAGTGACCCAAAGCAGACAAATAATTGTTCAAAGTTACGCCACAGGGCAGCTCTGTGAACGTAGGCATCTAATGCCCGAACTGGACATAACAGGTTCAGTCGTTCCTGATCTGGGGTATTAAAAGGTGGAGGATAAAAGGCCTGCAGCACTATAAGGCCCCCAAAAATTAACTGGGACCTAAGGAGTATAACCCAGTCTAGGGTTTAGAAATGCTTTCACCATACCCGGTGCAGATTCCAGGCATAAAGGAGCAACCGACAGGGCATGCAAATCTCCTTATCTCCGGTAAATGAAACCGCAAAGAGAAATGTTCTCAAAGTGAGGAATTTTTCTAAAACCTCTTCAATGGGCTCAAAGGGAGCCAAAGCCAGACCCTCAAGTACAATGGCCAAATCCCAAGCCGGTGCTCTAAGTGCAGTGCAGGTTTCAACCTCATGTAAAGGAACATAATAATAATATCAAATTGAGCTGAAGGTGGCAAATTCCTAATAATGTACGTATAAGATACCTAAAATAAGTTGCGCATAGCCTACAGCAAAGGTGTTTTAACAACAAAACACATCCACTTGCACATATTTGACAATCGGAATATCAGATCCTAATATAGCTAGCAAATTGTGAAATTCTGAATAAAAAAATAAATAAAAGCAGATCATCAGTCATTCAACTGTTGTGGCTGCGGTGTGACAACTGACAAGCAAGGACGCGTCTCCATGGGAACCATAAAATGATACTACGATCAATAACGGTCGCCTTGAAAAACTTTTAAACTTACCGGTACGCGTGAAAAGGTTAAGTAAGGTTTACATTTAAATGTCTTTGTTTTGTTTTGAGTGTATGGTCAATAAATAAAGGAATTAAAAAGATGGGCACAAAACCTGTTTGTCTCTATTCCCCACCAGTGTGCCGCGCCCACGCGCCGCACTTTGAGAAACAGCTAACTTAGCAATGGGGTACCTCAGTTTGGTCAGGATTTTTCCTTTTTTGGAGTCGACCAACAATTAAAAAATCGTTGTCTGGCTGCCTTTCAATGTCCTTTCCATCTTTCTATCTGTTAGCATGCAACTTCAGCTATTTCCTCAAACCATTCATCCCAGCGACTGCGCAACATAGTAAACAAACTTGGTAGAGAAAGCGGGTTGGGTAATACCAAGTCGGTGCGGTGGGCAGAGGGTACATTAAAATATGATACTATCTATCTTTTTTGGCAAAATGTATTTAATATTAATTCGGAATCTGAATGATTCGGAATCTATTCTAATCTGAATGATGTGATGATATTCGGGGGGTTATATTAGCTGGGTCTGATTATTGAGGGGGTCATAACCCCCTAACCCCCCCCCCGCAAATTACGCCCATGGCTGCGACCCTCCTCAGAGAGTCGCACCCCAGAGGTTGCCAAGGAGAAACGATTTCTCAAAATCGTCCCTGCCCCGGAAGAGCCCTCAGAAGCCTGATAGCCTCATTTTCTTGTCTAAGCTTTATTAGAGATGATGACAGTCCTCAGATCTGCCTATCTCTTCACTAGCTTAGTTCCTACGACCCTCCTCGGAGGACCGTTGGATAAAGCAGGCACCTCGGCGCCCTGAAACGGTGAACCGGCAGGGAAACCGAACTGACTGCTCTTTTTTAAGGCTCGTTTGGGGACACTGAGACCTTGGTGCCCTGAAACTCAGAGAAACTCACCCTCCTCAGAGAGTCGCACCCCAAAGGGCACTGAGGAGAAACGATTTCTCAAAACCGTCCCTACCCCAGAGGGGACCACCCTTAGAAGCCTGACCACCTCAGCGTCAGGGCTTCTCCTTTGTCCAAGCTTTTTTAGAGATAAAACAGTCCTCAGATCTTGCATTTCTCTAACTGGCTATAGACTGTTCTGTTTGCACCTTGTGCTGCGAGGAGCTTAATAGGCCGAGACTGCTCTCGTCCAGCAGTCTCAGGAACATTGGTGAGGAAGAAACCTCTGGAACACCGCTGAATGGATTATTTCATAGTTTTCTTGAAAGCGGAGCGTCCAGAAGAACAGACATATTTTTATTTTCCCATTATCTTTATATCGGAAAAAACATATATGTACATATAATTCTGTGGCCACCAGCGGGAACAACCGAACTGGCAGCGCTGCGACCCTTCTCAGAGAGTCGCTCCTCACACACATTCCATACCCACCAGGGCTGCCTAATAAAAATTTATTCATTATTTATGATGGCTGGTGGGTAACGTCGGGGTTAAAAACGATGACACCGACTCGGGAGAGAGAAAGCTTGCAAGCGTCTCGTAACCCGAGGCACTGAAATACCCAAACATTGCTATAATATGGGGATTAAACACATAAAATATAACCCTGACGAGGAGGCTGAGAAACAGAGTTTTCTAGTTTTTAAAATAAATTGAATCTTAAAAACTCTTATTTATTTTTCAATCTCATAATGTTCAGCTAGCCAGTACAATTTTAACTGGCAAAAGCATAAATAAAACCTTTTTATTCAGCAGATATGAGCTGACTTATTTATTCATTCATTTAAAAGTCAAAATGCCTTTCTCTTAACATTTTTATTTGTTTGTACTGTTTCTTTTTAAAAAAAAAAACACTAACGATACCAATTCCTCGGAACTGGAAATCGCAGTCCAGATCTGGCATGTGAAAGCTGAGATAGAGCTGAGCTCGTCCCAACCCTCGCTGTCAGATCCGTTTGCGAACCCCGAAATGCGAGTCGTCTCCGTGCCTCGGCAACAGAGAGACCCGCGCGGGGAACGCGAACCGAACCGTCCTCCTCGGAGAACGCCCGGCGGGAGCGGAGCGTCCTCGCGGACAGCTTCTCGCAATGCCCACAATCAGCTCCCTCGAGAACTGACTGCTGGCATGCTCCACTCGCAAACAAATAGCTGATGTGTGTCCCCACCCGTGATGTAACGAGGGCAGGGAACCACACAGCGTCTATAATCTTGCTTGCCATATATAGATAGTGATATATATTTCTTTTCTTGGCTTTGACAAACAACAATAAATAGACAAGGACAGAGTACAGATATCGCTTGCTGAAGGCTACAGAAGCTGTCGCGGTCTGATCTCAAGGGTGCTTTATAGTTTCCTGGTCGATGACGTCACCTGACGTCCTACTCTCTCATTGGACTGATTGTACAGACGCTTTACGACGCAATCACGCAGAGCGTTCCCATCGCGTTTGACAACGCAGCTCGAAGTTCCCTTGAAAGGGAACCAACCTTTCAGAATGTAAGATTATTTATTGGTATAAGTACTTTTAGCTCCATAAATCCCATACTTCTGCTATTTCATGGTTTAGTTTTAATGTTATTGTAAAATGTCAGATCAAGTCACATTTATTTATATATATATATATATATTTATATATATCACATTTATTTATATATTTATTTATATATAATAGTGCTTTATATAATCATGTACCTGTGGTGACGATATAACCTTCTGTGGTAAATACAATTTTTTTTCTATAACAAAAGTTCCACACACACACACACCGTTTTTGAAAATGTATGTTTCTAAAAAGTAACTAGATAAGACAGTTTGGGGTGTGTAGTTTACAGTGTGGAAAAAATTTATTATACTCATAAATTGAAGAACCCCATTATAAAACCCTTGAGGGAACCAGGGGTGAATAAGTCTTCCGGTTTTTGACGTCATCCCTGCACAACATTGTTTCAAAGCAGCTTCACTTTAATAAAAAAGAAAATATCAGTGTTAATGTTGCAAAATGTGTCAATTATGAAACAAATTCAACTTAATCTGTAAAGCAGAAGAAGACAATAGAGTTGTTGTTCAGCTCAGGTCAGTTCAAATATCAGTGTCAACGTTGCAAAGTTACTGTCATTATCCAGATCCTCAGCTAATGAAATATATTCTAAAAACATTTAGCTACAGTTCCCATGAAATTATGAAAATATTATGTTCAAAATATCAATTTTCAAAATGTTTTTTTTTTCTTGGTGATTTGAATGTTTAGGTCATAATCATTTTATCATAATGGAAATGTTACTTTTGAACGTTCTCCGAACATTCTAAAACCAATAATATTGAAATATTGTAAATATTTAATTCAACGAATGATTGATTTAATTCAACGAATAATATTTAATTCAACGAATAGGCCAACCTGATCTCACGGGAATTTGTACGAATTTTACGAAGTGGCTAATTTGTAACAATTCGTACGACCTCACTCGCACGAATTAGTACGATTTTGCTAAATCGTACATATTTTACGAATTAGCCAATAGTACAAATTCGTACGAGTGAGGTCGTATGAATTAATACGAATTAGCCACTTTTGAATCACTCGTACGACGGCCTATTGTTTTTGATCCAACATTTTGAGAATAATATTAAAATGACTTTGAATGAACATTCTGTTATTATTACTCGAGGAAAATTCCCTCATAACTTTGAGAGAAACTTGCCACAACGTTAGCTAAAGTTCTGAGATCGTTCCCTGTTGGCTGGGTCAAATCTGTTCACATTTTCGTCTCATCCAATAGTGTGAGTGCAGTTAAATTGCTTAATATTATCTGTCTTTTAACTAAGAACAAATGAATATTCTTAAGAATTTACAAAACCACACATTCAGCATGTCCTCACTCGTACGAATTAGTACGATTTTGCTAAATCGTACATATTTTACGAATTAGCCAATTCGTATGAATTCGTACGAATGACCTACCCCTGACTCCGCCCCTAAACATAACCGTCACGTGGGTTTAGACAAATCGTACGAATTTGTACGAGTGAGGTCGTATGAATTCGTACGAATTAGCCACTTTTGAATCACTCGTACGAATTCATACGAATTGGTCGTGAGATAGCGTAGGATCTTTTCTAAACATTGATGTATTTCTGTTATACCAGCGCAGTCTCATCCCAAGACTCATATAACTGACGTCTTGGGATGTCTTTTGACCATACGCCAACATCTGCCTTTTTAGGGTACCCTTAAACGTCGGTTAGATGACGTTATCGGATCCTAACCCTACCCCAGACCTAAACCTACCCCGTCACCTAACCGACATTAAAGGTAAAGCGTCAGTTGTATGACGGTCCGGGATCGTCAACTAATTGACGTTTAAGGGTATCCTAAAAAGGCGGATGTTGACGTATGGTCAAAAGACGTCCCAAGACGTCAGACTTGGGATGAGACTGTGTTAGTTATACATTCTCGATCGGTAAACGTCAATTCGGTTTCAGATGACTGCCTGGTGGACGTGGATGGGAGGATGGCAGGAAGAGGAGGACATGTAGAAAGAGTTGAAGGAGAAGAGGCTCAACTGAGGCTGCAGTTAAAAAGGAAACTCCAGCGCAACAGAACCAGCTTCACAACCGAGCAGATCGAGGCCTTGGAGAAGGGTAAGCACATGGACAATAAAAGCTTCAAAAAGTGTTGGCAAGCGGTCACAGTGTGACATTTATTGTATAGAAAGATTTAAGTGCACTTAACTACTAAACGTTATCTAACAGAGTTTGAGAGAACACATTATCCGGATGTTTTCGGACGAGAGCGACTTGCAAACAAAATCGACCTTCCAGAGGCGCGGATACAAGTAAGTTATTGTCCCGAAATAGAATTATATACTGCAATAGATCAGTTCATGTATTCTTTCTCTGGACCTTGATTGACAGGTGTGGTTTTCAAATCGAAGAGCCAAATGGAGGCGCGAGGAGAAGCTGCGAAACCAGAGGCGGTCTGGAGGCGGGACGTCCTGTGCTCAAACACACGCTCCACTGAACACATCCTTTAATTCAGCCGTATATCATCATCCGCACAGCACAGCAGGTGACGACCGACATTTACATTAGCATGCTGTACCTGCCGCTTAGAATATGATCCCCCACAGAATGAGAACATGGATCCATCATGCCTTGTTACCACTGTGCAGGCTGGTGGTGTAATGGTGTGGGGGATGTTTTCTTGGCAAACTTTAGACCCCTTAGTGCCAATTGGACATCGTTTAAATGCCACGGGCTACCTGAGCATTGTTTCTGACCATGCCCATCCCTTTATGGCCACCATGTCCCCATCCTCTGATGGCTACTTCCAGCAGGATAATGCACCATGTCTTGAATCATTTCAAATTGGTTTCTTGAACATGACAATGAGTTGACTGTACTAAAATGGCCCCCACAGTCACCAGATCTCAACCCAATAGAGCATCTTTGGGATGTGGTGGAATGAATGGATGTGCATCCCACAAATCTCCATCAACTGCAAGATGCTATCCTATCAATATGGGCCAACATTTCTAAAGAATGCTTTCAGCACCTTGTTGAATCAGTGCCACGTAGAATTAAGGCGGTTCTGAAGGTGAAAGAGGTCAAACACAGTATTAGTATGGTGTTCCTAATAATCCTTTAGCTGAACACAAAGGAAGATATTTGGAAGAATGTTTTAATCAAACAGATCTCATTCCCCATTGACTACCATAGGAAAAAATACATACTATGGTAGTCAATGGGGAATGAGATTTGATTAAAACATTCTTCCATTCTTCCTCAATATCTTCCTTTGTGTTCAGCAGAACAAATAAAAACATAGAGGTTTGGAACAACATGAGAGTGAGTAAATACTGACAGAATTTTCATTTTTGGGTGAACTAACCCTTTAAAATGGCTTGCCAAATGGATCTAAAAATATAATGTGTTTCTTTCATCTTCTTTACGTGTGTTTAGCATCCATGATCAGCCAGAGTGACGCAGCTCTCTCCAGTTATAACTCTCTCTCAGTCTATACTGGGCTCCAGGTGAGATTCACATGAGATTCATATTTATATTTAGCAAACCAATGCCAGTTTATGCTGTGTATGTACTTCTGTAGTGTTATGTGTTAGTGCCCTCTTGTGGTGACACTGGTTATCAGTGAACACTAAATAATCTCTAACCTTGACTGAATATGCACTGCCTGCTATTCTCTAAAACATGGCAACATTTTAGGCTTTATTCAATGATTAATGTTTCAAAGGGTACATGACATTGAGTTATTTTTTATAAACAACATTGTTAATTTACATTTTTCTTTCAATATCGCATAAAATGTAACTATTATTAATCCGATCAAATAATGAGTAAAGAAAAAGATGACCCCCCCCCCCCCCCCCCTTTGACCATAGATCTGAAGTTAGATTATTGTAATGCACAAATTATTTGGAAAACAAACCTAGATTCATCTTTAAAAAAAAAAAAAAAAAAAACACTCACCGTATTATTGCCGAAGGGAAAGAAATTCAAAATAATTTGGACTATAAAACTGCTAGAAAGTCAAAGCCACATGTCTATGGAGTCTATTCCGAATTTGAAGTTGATATAAAAATAAATTGAGCCTGCTAAATGGGTTTAAAGTAGACTGTTTCCATAACACAATGGCCATTTTTGAGTGAAATTGGAGATTTCGAATGACGCCACCACATTTATGATTATTACTAAAATATGATAGGGAAGAAAGGCAATAAAAAAGCATGCTAAGAGTCCCGCTATATACTATTGGGACACTAACAGTTAACAGGATTAATCTCACTGGAAATGGATAGCAGGGTCGAGTCAGTGTGGGACATGCAGTTCTTATTTTTGTATAATTTGGCAAATATAGTCGTACAGTGATATATTATAGTGTGTATAATCTGTGCAGAGTATATACTGCAAAAATACTATGAGTACTGCTTCTGTTCTTCGAAACATTTTAACACTATTGTAAATCTGTGTGTGTGTGTTTTACTGTTGTTGTCTCTCTACTGGTGTTCTGTGTGCAGTCTGCTCCTTCTCCATCTTCCTCCTCGTACTCCTGTATGCTGTCTGCGTCTCCGTCATACTCCTCTCCTCACCTGACAGCGCCTCCTTCAGGCAACACCAGCACAGGTCAGTCTGACAGCTAATCCAACACAGTTTACATTTATTTGCATTCTTTATTTACTTATTGTAAATATACTTATTTCTTATTTTTACATATTATTTTTTTACTTTATAGTCTGTCTGTATACTCGATTCTGATTGGTTGGAAGGTGTGCTATAATAAAACCGTTTAATGCACAGGAAGTTCCGGTCAGTTTACACACAAACATTCAGGATCTCAGAAATGTATCAAAGCTGCCCCACAACTTTTATTAATAAAATAGCTTTACTTGTGAAGCGCTACATTGTATTTCTCAGCAACGAGGAAGTTTCATCACTGATTTTGAAGTAATTCAAGCTATTTGAAGCTATAATTTATTAACTCACATAAACTACTTTATCTCTGTGTCTGATTCAAAGTGGACAGAATGCTTGACCTCACAACAAGCCTAACTGATGAAAATAACTACATTTTTATCCTTCCTGTCAATCAATAACAGCTGTCAATGCTGGCAAATGACCAGGTACAAGTGGGATAATCCATGGATTCAATTGAATAATAAAGAAGTTGAATCAATAGAAATATTTAAATAAATTATTAAGGAATAATATTAAGACTTTTTCATTGTCATTCCAAAAAATGGTACATGAGCTGGAACGAAATTAGGGACTGAGGTCTGGTTAAAACCACTCACATAAAACCACAATCATCATACACACCCATACTGTTTATACAAACTAAAAACCCTGAAACAATAGCAGCATAGGAATAAAATGCAGTAAGGGTTAGGTTATTAAATACATTATCAATGTTAATAAAACAGAATCTTATTAATTATTAAAACACCAAACAAATAAAATTAAGAGTTAACAACAGATTTTTTACTATACTATGCTTGTCCACAGGGGCGTAGCACCAAATTCTGGGCCCTGTACACTCTCAATGTCAATGGGCCCCATACACATGGCATTGTACGATGCGGGTTAGCAAAGTGAAAATTCAATTTTGAATGAAATGTATTTTTTTAATTATTTGAATATAAACAAATATAAACAGTGTTTAAATAATAAAATCAGATTATAGTAATGACTGGTTCTTTCATTCACCACCTGAATTGATGCATTTGGCCTAGGCCTACTTGTGCTCAAATACCTTTAAACCTTAGGCTACATCGGTTTTGTGTACTAACATTTTGATCCATGATACTGATGCAAGTTTTAAATGAAAAACATTTATTTTTAAATAGGAGAACACAAGAACACGAGAGACAACTGTACCATCAGAAACCAGGTTAAACTGATGCTACCAACTTTCTCAGTTGGTCGCATCAGCATTTGATTTCGTCGCGGTTATTTTTTTTTTTTTTGCTACATGCCATGGGATTAATCAATGCATGCCGATGAATAGTGGTTTTAATGGACCTAAGCCAGCAAAGGCTTACCATAAATACCTGTAATATATTAATCATCATTGCCAAATTTCAGGATTTTCATGGATTTTGGACAGTAATTTTAATCTGTAATTTAAAGAATTTTACATTTGAATTACATTCAATCTATCTATTTACATTTGAATCATAATCTTCTGTGTCTGTCATTTTGCTATTAGCATCATATTTCTATCTTTTAAAAATCATTAAACATTCAAATGTACATACATTTTAAAAGATTAGAGTATTACAACAAGCTAAAACAGATTTTTCGTTATCAAATTTTATAAGTTAGTTCAAAAATCAGAAATCTCACACTCCTTACCTCCTGCATTTTGTAATAATTTGTTTCCTGAGACATTTTCATTTTTATATTTTTATTCATGAATTCGTAATTGGCGTGTTCCACCATCAGTGTGCAATGCGCGCGTGACGTCTATGTGTCTTGCGGAAGAACACTGTTGCCGGAGCTACTTCTCTCCATTAATGTCTATGGCGAGTCACGCAGTCACTGGGCAACTTCGCATCCGAGTCAACCCCGGGAATCCGGGATAAAAAAATAGTCCGAATATAAACACTTATAACAGGCGTAGTGTAGTGATTCAGGATAAGTCAAAAACACGGTTTGGAAAATGGATTCATGATGTAGCCTACTCGTTCGTTTTGAACATAAGTTACGGACTGCAGTCTGCAGCAGCTGATACAACGGTCGGTGTTCTTTTGCGCGAGCGTCCACTCGTAAATATGCGACGCGACCACATCACATACAATTTTAACTCGCACAATCAAATTCTCAAAAAAATGGTCGCATATGAGACCAATTTGGTCGCAGTCTGGAACCCTGCATTAGCAGCAGCTGTCTGGAGTTGACTAAGTTACGTTAACTTTAATTGGATGTAACGTTAGGTGCATATAGCAAACTCAGTTCACCTTTTGGGAAGAAAGCAGTCATCAGCTGCTTCCCCGCATTCTGCCTCCTATCTTTTTCTTTCATCTCTTTTTTTTTTAAAGCCCGATTTGGGCTTTTTGCACAGCATGATCAGATCAGGCTCCCGTTACAGGCTCTAGACTCTAGTGATGGCCGGTTCGTGAACGAATCGTTCTTTTGAACCGGTTCTTTTTAGTGAACCGGTCGAACCAGTACACTAAATCGGACTGAATCGTTCGAAACAGTTCGCGTCTTGCGTCAGCGCTAAACCACAAGTTACTAAAGTTACTCACTTTCAGACATGCCTGACAGTCCCTCCGAATCGAAATAAACCAATATCCATTAGTACATTTTATTCCAGTAACTCAAAAACTTCACTGAACGGAGACATATATTGGTGCTGAGAGAAGTGATGAGCACGAGCAGCTGATACTGCGCATGCGTGTACTACCGAACATACAGGAACAGCGGTCGGATAACCAGTACAGAACCGAGAACTGTTTCTTTCGGACACGTTCGACATACTGAGAACTGATGAGTTGATGAGCTGAGCATGCGTGCATTTTTTTCTGAGGGACGAAATGTACGTTTCCATGTCTTTAGTTGAACATCAGTAAGTGTAACAAAATAAAACATTTTGGAAACATGTTTATCACATTACTGTATCACTGTATTATTTTAACGATTGGAAATAATGATTGGATTCTAAAACTGTCAAACTACTAAACATTTATTATTATACTAAAATAATATTTTCAGGAACAGCTAGCTCATTTAATTTCTAAGTAACAATAAATCATTGATGTAAACTCTTGCCAAGGTTTGGTGCACTAGTAAATGTTTATAATGTGTTAACATAACGAATTAAACATGTTTAATTCGTTATGTTAACACATTATAAACATGATATATATACACTGTATAGGCTACAGAAGGCTATATTGGAGACAGACATGCATCGATTTTTTAGTTTTGTGGACTGTATCAGGTTTCAGGTCAGCACACACAGGCCTATGCTATGGTTCTCGAGTCGAGAGCTGGTTGTTGCAGTTCTTGAATCACTAGTACAGAACCGAGAACTGTTTCTTTCGGACACGTTCGATACGGAGAACCGATGAGCTGGAGATACTGCGCATGCGTGATAGCACCGTCTCTGAACAGAACTTTCTTTCGGCCGGCTGATCCTGTGGTGATATACGAGCACGCAGTAGTACGTGAACCCAGGACTTAAATGAGAGGGCGAAACGGCGAAATGTAAGTTTATTTAATAACAAATAAAATGATGAAGACCATTTATGCATTTTATATATTTAAAACATGTAAAACATCCGCGTTAGCACATCGCCTAGGCTGCAGCTGGGTTCGTTTTCAAAATGTAAATGTAAGAAACTTATCCAAGATGATTATGACAATGCATACTATTATTTAACTGAAGTTGTGATTACAAATGCCCTTTAATTTGAAGTATTTTTATCCGCCGGGATGATAGAATTGACGTCATTACGTGATGACGTAAAAGAACTGGTGAACCGGTTTTTTGAACCGGTTCATTAAAACGAACTGTCCGAAAGAACCGGTTCGCGGAAAAGAACCGGACTTCCCATCACTACTAGACTCACTGCGTTATTACTTGTTTGCCGCCCGCTGCGTCTATGGGCGGTCGACGCGTTGCGGACTAAACCATTTGGAAGGGGGTCCAGAGTGTCTAGCACTGAGTTCATTTTGGTCAATATTTTTTTAAAAATTATTATTAATGACATCAATTGGAGGGCCCAATTAATTCTAATTAGGTTTAAAAAAATGGGATTTCAAAGGGCCCTCTCCCTAGACGGGGCCCTGGGTAGTCAGGTCCACTTTTCCCCCCACTACCACGCCCCTGCTTGTCCATACTGCCCTACAAAGGCAAAGAGTACAGTAACTATGCAAACAAGGAAACTGAGAAAAAGGCCTTTAAAGTTTTTATACCAGCCAGTCAAATATGTTATGGGTAGATTAGTGGTAATGCACGAAACTCCGAAATGGGACATAATTTAACCCAGATATTTTTTCACAAGACAGAACACATGTCATAAAAGCCCATTACAAGTCTTAACTCATTTTTGACCAAATGTGTAGTTACTGCACTTTGCCTTTGTAGGGCAGCATAGTTCTGATGTGAAAAACACAAACTAGACAAACAGCAGAAAGACCAAAGTAATGGATTTTGATTGTCCACTATTGTTGAGTGACGTGCCGACAACCGAAACGCTGCTGAAACTGAACATTAAATGGCACGAGCTTGAGCTTAAATGAAAAAGCTTTAAAAACATAATTTTAAAAAATGTAATTAATATACATGCACTACCGGTCAAAAGTTTTAGATCAGTAAGATTTTTTATGTTTTTAAACGAAGTCTCTTCTGCTCACCAAGGCTGCTTTATTTGATGAATATTGTGAAATATTATGACAATTTGTAATGACTGCTTTCTATTTTAATATATTTTAAAATGTAATTTGAAAGCTGAATTTTCAACATCATTACTGCTGCTGATTACACATCAGTTTTCAGTGTCACATGATCTTTCAGAAATCATTCTAATATGCTGGTTTTATGCTCAAAAAACATAAATTATTATTTTCAATGTTGAAAACAGTCGTGTACCATTTCCCCCAAAAAATTCTATGATGAATAGAAAGTTCAAAAGAACGGCATTTATTTAAAATATAATTTTTTCTAACATTATAAATGTCTTTACTGCAACTTTTGATCAATTTAACTCCTCCTTGATGAATAAAAGTATTTTCTAATTTCTTTCCCCCAAAAATAAAAAATAAATTCTTACTGACCCCAAACTTTTGAATGATAGTGATTAATGTTACAAAAGCTTTCCATTTCAGATCAATTCTGTTCTTTTGAACTTTCTATTCATCAAAGAATCCTGAAATAAAAATGTAAAAAACTGTTTTCAACATGGATAATAATCATAAATGTTTGTTGAGTATCATATTATAATAATTTCTGTAGGATCATGTGACACTGAAGACTGGATGCTGTAAATTCAGCTTTGATCACAGGAATAAATTACACTTCACTATATATTCACATAGAAAACCACTGTTTTAAATTGTAATAATATTTCACAATATTACTGTTTTTTTTTTGTATTTTTAAACAAATAATTTCAGCCTTGGTGAGCAGAAGAGACTTCTTTTAAAAACAGAAAAAATCTTACCGATCTAAAACTTTTGACCGGTAATGTATATATAGTTCATAATTTATTTATTTATTGATTTCATTCTTAGTAATTTGGCCTTCCATAATTATTTACGTATTACTCACTTATTTCATATTTATTTATTTACTTACTCCTTATTGATATCACTGTTTGAACACATTACATTTTCCTGCTTTAGGTCTGATTTCTCCAGGGGTTTCTGTACCGGTCCAGGTTCCAGGAAATGACCCAAACATGTACTGGGCCAGACTGCAGTAAGATTACGGGAGGAAGATCTTGCTTTAGAATATCAAATATTAATGTTTACAAAAGATTTTAGAACAAATTGTTTTCCACTCAAAGGAGAGCGATCCTCTAATGGTTGGACCTAAAAAACAAAACTCCTTATTTTAGCCATTCTTTTTCTAGATCTAATGACAGTGTGTCATATTTGTTTCCATTCAATTTCAGACAATCAGGAATGTATATGAATTATATCATGATGCATTGTGCAAGACTGAAGTGTTGTTTTTAGAATTGGTGACTCAGTTCCTGCATTTAAGCAACTTCTCTGAACTGAGTTTTGTTATTATAACTCATGTAACAACATGATTCTGGTTTCAATTTCTTTTATGATAAGCCCTAATTTCTCCACAGTTATCTCAGTCCTTGTAGTCAAATTTTTGTTGGGATCATTTTCATGATATGGTAACACTCAGTAAGCTTGTGACAATCAAGGCAGGGACTGACAATCATGTGATTTGCACTCAAGACCAATGAACAAATCAATTATTAAAAAGCCGTCAGCAAAGCAAGGGTTTAGTATGCAACGTTTTTTGCCAACACAATCTCGAGTGTAAAGCTCATCTGCAAATCCAAAGTGTTGTTGTTTAAATTCAGTAGAGTTGTGATCAGTTTCTCTTGTTCTTTACTTCTTTGTTCAAATTTATATTGTCATACAGTATATTCATAAGTATGTTTGAATATTGGGAGACTATGTCTGTACTTAAACTATTGTGTGTGTATGTGTGTGTGTGAGAGAGAGAGTGAGAGAAAAAGAAATGAAATATTTACAGTGTACAAATTAAGTCTGAGCACTAGTGAAATAGCAACTGTCTTCATTTCACACACAAACGCGCACACTCACACTTTGCTTACAAAATACAATTCCATGAAGAGTTGAACTGAAAAATGAACAAAAAATGAACGTCTTTGTACTGTAAGTATGTCTACTTTTTGCTTTAATGTCAACAGCATATTCTTTAAAAAAAATGTTTTATATAAATGTTAAAGTCGTAAAACATTCTGTTTATTTCGAAAACCTAAAATATTGTTTACTTCTAGAAAAATCCCAGGTTGTGGATGTTCACTCGCTCCAGTCAATCCATTTCATGCATTAAACCCTTTAATAAAACATTTATCTGGCAATCATGTCGCCTACTGTGATTTGTAATTGTCTGAAATGAAAGGCCTTAATTATTTTAGTTCACTTAACCAAAAAACGTATATTTTTCTTCATATTTTGTTCTCTGTACTAACAGTCTCATCTCAAGAAGTCATATAACTGACGCCTTGGGATGTCTTTTGACCATTCAGTACGTCAATATCCGCCTTTTTAGGGCCCCCTTAAACGTCGGTAGATGACGATCCCGGGCCGTCATACAACTAACGCTTTAGCTTTAATGTCAGTAAGGTGACGGGGTAGGTTTAGGTATGGGGTAGAGTTAGGATCCGATAACGTCATCTGCCGACGTTTAAGGGGGCCCTAAAAAGGCGGATATTGACGTATGGTGAAAAGACGTCCCAAGATGTCAGTTATATGACGACTTGGGATGGCTAAACATGGGACTGCGCTGTCTGTACATTCACATCAATGGTTTCACTTCCATGGGGGACATTTTGATTGCAAAACACCAATCATGTGAATATTTGTATCTGTCGACGCATGTCCCTTTTTACTTCATGTCCGATTGTTAAAGTTCTCAGTCTGAAACAAAGCCACTTGATGAGTCACTATATCACCCTAATCGCTTTAAATAGCTAACGAGAAGCAGAAATTAACCCAGATTGTCTGCCTCTCTCTTCATTCTTTCTCCCTCTCTCTCTCTCTCTCTCTCTCTCTCGCGCGTGTCATGTAGCACTAATAGCACTTATAGCAGATGCACTCTTAGTAGCAGGGGGTTGGGGAAGATGCGAGAGAAGTACAGCTGATGGTTTGCAGGCACTTTCAAACAACAGGAAATGAGCATTCTGGAGCTCACAGATATGATCATGTTTGTTTTATATTGTCTGGTGTGTTAATAACTTTGTTTTTGAGTATGATCCAGACAGCAAACTGACATTGAATCAACGTGGACACGACGTCTCTCATGACATCGAAACAACGTTGATCTGGCATTGTTTCGCTCATCGAATTAACGTTGAATCAACGTCAGACGCGGCATTCTTCAAAGCTAAATGAAAATCGAAAATTGGTTTGCTTTCATAACGTTGAAACAACGTTGATTTCAAGTTGATTTTCCGTTAGTTTTGAAAGAATGACGCGTCTGACGTTGGTTCAACGTTAATTCGATGAGCAAAACAATGTCAGATCAACGTTGTTTCGATGTCATGTTTCCACGTTGATTCAATGTCAGTTTGCTATCTGGGGAGTCATTTATAGGTTAACACAGGTGGCAAGTGTGATATTTTTACATGTGTTTGGTTAATCTACAAATAATCAGACGGAACGTTGCATACAGTGCGTTTATTGCTGGGCTACGTATACTGACGTAATGACGTCAACAGTACATGCACGTTTGCTGGCATAGATATCTATATAAAGGCTAGCTGTCTCACAGCGGAGTATTTATCGTCATCACCGGCGGCCATCTTGTCACAGACAGGCTTTCTGGTGGGCTCTGTGATGTAAGAAATACTCTTATCTCGTTGAAATCTTGACGGATTTACAAACGGTTTGGTTTCTTACAAACGTTATCAACGTGGCTATAATTCTGGATGATTATTTATTTATACACTTATTATTCATAAGTATGCAGTATCATAACTACATCTCTGCCGTTTATAACAAACCAGACCGTTTGAAAATCGGTAGAAATTTGAGCATGTTACGGTGATTTAAAAAGTACATGCACCATTAAAACAATGTTACCAGTGAGCGAGCTGCCTGTGACAAGATGGCCGCCAGGTGCTGACGTCGACCTCCATTGGCCAGCAGCGCGGACGACATATCTAGCCTTTATATAGATATCTATATTTGCTGGTATACTCTGAATGTCACATGACTTTTTTTTTTTAACTAATGAACTCAGTTATGTTGTTTCCACTTTCAGTTACTTGGGAAATCAACACCTAAACATTCACTTGGTCTGTGGTCAAAACAAAACTATGAAGTAGACAAACAGATTGCTTTAGTGTAATAACTCAGTTAAATGCATATACTCACCCAATTTCTGACATGGGATGTAGAACTGCATTTACATACATTTTCAGATTCTAAACGAACTTGTTTTTTTTTTCCTTAGGACACATCCTCTTCTCTTAACACTTAACATATTTAACACATGACGGTTTTGTCACCTTCACTTAACACTTTTTTTTTTAACACATAACAGTTGTGTCGCCAAGTCCATACCATCTCTAGTGCATTATGTCCATTTCACAGTCCTAATCAGTCTATGTTACCCATTTTTCAGGCTGTGACAAAGTCTCTGAGGAACTGTGGAGGCTGTCTGTGCCTAGTAGGGTATCTTGCCACCACTGGGACTGTGTCAGTAGTGACTTCTTCATCCTCTTCTGCTGTCGATGTGTCACGCAGGCCAGGGTCAAGCTTTTCGAAGAAGGATGAATTTCTTGTCACTCGATGTCCGTTCCATTCAGCGGTGACCATGGAGCCTTTGACTGTGGTAACTTTGTACGGTTTACGGTGGTATGGTGCTGTAAGTTTATTGCGCCTGGGTTGAGAGCACAGCACCATGTCACCAGGTTGGAGAGAGTAATGTGCAGCGTGTCGGCAAGTGTCAGAGTACACCTTTTTGGCTTTGGCCTTGTGGTCTCCTGCGAAGATCCTTGTCCGATCCAGTGTGCGTGCCCGTATCCTGCGTTTGAGCAACAACTCAACGGGTGATGTTGTTGTTGTGCTGTGTGATGTCGAACGGTACTCACGTAGGAATTTGTGGAGATGCTGCTTCCAGGTGTGCAACATCTTGGGCATCTTCCAAGTGTTCTCATAAACCTTAATGGGGCCATAATGGTGTGATCTTTCAATGGTGAAATGCCATGTAGGCTGCAAACCTGCTGAACTGCTCACTGTTGAATGGGGGCCGTTATCCGTTTTTACAGATCTGGGGATGCCAAACATGGAAAAGATTTTATCTATAGCCATGTTTCCATCCACTTGTCAATCGAATTATCTGAAGTTCGGCTGGTGAAAGTGTGTTTCCATCCAACGGCTTTAAAGCGAATACAAACCTGTACGTAATGACGTCAAATGCTGTTTTGCGATCAAATTGGTATATCGAATTGATTTGAGACAAGGAACGACAGCGCTCCATCAGTTCTGGGAGATCGTGGTTCACGGAAAGCCTTTGGTTGAAGCATCTTTTTGCTTTGTCCACTACTTACATCTGTCTTTGTTGACATCCGCCATGTGTGCGCAAACAGAGCGGGACTGGCCGGAAATGAACTCGTCTTCTGGCGTGTTGCAACCATAAAAGGGCCTAAAAATCGCAATTCATTATTTATTCGGCAAATAACGTTTCCATCAGCTTTTATCGCATTAGCCGTATATCGATCAAGATAAAATCCGATGAGACCGAACGCATTTCATTGGAGTCGATTTTCATGAAATTTCATCGAATTTTACTGTTTCCATAAGGCATTTTTCATTCGACATCACTTAATTCGGATAAAAACGTGTTGATGGAAACATGGCTTATGACAGGGATGACAGAGTTTGCAGAGGTGGAGTGTACGACTTCTACCACGGGGTATCGGGAGTAGTCGTCTACGATGACCAGCAGGTGTTCACCTGTTGGTAGTGGGCCGTAAAAGTCAGCACTTACATCTTTCCAGACTGTGTCAGGCAGGTCTGACATCTTCAGAGGTTCTGTGTGCGTTTCAGGTATGGTGGCTTGACATGCAAGACAGTTTCTGACCATTGCCTCGGCCTGTCGATCGATGCCTGGGAACCATACCGTCTCCCTCAGGAGGGCCTTTGTCTTTGTGATTCCCTGATGTGCCTCATGGGCAAGCTGAAGAACTCTGTACTCGAGGGAGGAGGGAATGACGATTCTGGAGCCCTTGAGTATGATGTCGTTTTCGTGTGATACTGTGAGCTCGCTTTTCACATGTTCATTCTGTCTTACTGCGACTGTGTGCCATGCATTGTTGCGTATAAGAGCACTAACCTTTTGTAATGTTTCATCCTTGAGTGTCTCTGACTTGATTTCATCTAGAGTCATCGCTTGTGGTGTGTTGCTCTTCTCATGATGAAGTTTACATATTCTTCAGCCACCTTTGTGGCACGGGTGTTTTTGGCAGGTGTCTGTGCTGGGATTGGATGGCGGGACATGTACTGTAGTCTGCTGGATTATCGGTTCCTTTCCTATATTAAATTTTGAGGTTGTACGGCTGCAGCCGGAGTCCCCAACACTCGATGCGGGCAGGCGGCTTGGACCTCGGGTTGTTCCAGATCAGTTCGAGTGGCTAGTGGTCTGTCACCATCGTGAACTCTTTGCCATAAATGTAGAGATGAAAATGTTCACAGCTCCATACAATTGCGAGTGCTTCACGCTCCGTTTGAGAGTATCGCCTTTCGACGTCACTGAGTGCTCTGCTTGCATAAGCGATTATGTGTTTCTGTTTTTGGTCTTTTTGCAGCAGTATCGTGGTGAGACTCTCTCTCAGTGTGCTCAGTGCTGCATCCTGTTCTGCGCCCCACTGCCAGGTCGTGTTTTTCCTCGTGAGCTTTCTAAGGGGCTCTGTTACTGTGGCAAAATTAGGGATGAAGCGTGAGCAGTAGTTTGCCATGCCTAAAAGACTTCTGACTTCGGCAGCATCCTTCGGCTTGTCGGCTTTGTGTATGGCTTCGACCTTCTTGGGATCTGCTGAGACACCGCCAGCAGAGAAGATGAACCCGAAGAACTCAAGTCGCGTCTTGTTGAACTCACATTTCTTACGGTTTAGTGTGAGGCCACATTCTTTGAGTCTCTGGAATACAGCTGTTAGACTCCTGTCATGATCAGCCCGTGTTGCTCCATAGACGATGATGTCATTGCTGAGATTCTTCACCCCTGCGATGCCCTGAAGTGTCTGATGGATTGTGTTTCGAAACACCTCCGCGGCTGAAGAGATGCCGAAATTGAGGCGCTTGTACCTTCTCAGGCCCAGGTGTGTTGTGAATGTGGTAATATACCTGCTGTTGGGAT